AAAGGAATGATAACTATCAGTATTTAAACACTAAGAAGGCTATGCTAATGTGGTGGTTGGTTGAAATGAGTTTGATGCTTAGAAGTTGATTAAGGAGGTTTTGAGGTAGATTCTTGATTCCGTTGTTATTTTATGTGCTTCGAGGCTTCGAGTAAGTCCGCAATATGTTTATGGACTTAACAGTGCATTCAGACGGGATCCCGGATGGCTCGGGTGTGTTTTGGACCACCCGGAGTTTATGTCGTACATGAAGTAGGTTAGGCTTCATACGTCTATTGAGGACAATATGTGGGAAACACGGCTTAGGTGGTTTGGTCATGTGAGGAGGAGGAACACAGACGCTCCAGTGAGGAGGTGTGAGAGGTTGACATTGGAGGGCCTACGAAGAGGTAGAGGTAGGCCAAAGAAGAGGTGGGGAGAGGTGATTAGGCAAGACCTGGCGCATCTTCAGCTGACCGAGGACATGACCCTTGATAGGAAGGTATGGAGGTCGAGGATTAGGGTAGTAGAGTAGGTAGTCTAGAGTGTTCATAACAGTAGTATTGGCACGTAATCTCGCTTTCTGTTGGTAGTAGGTGTTTTTGACTAACCATTGTTTTCTTTCATTGTTGATCACCTTACTATCTTGTTGTTTTATTCTACTTTTATATGGCTTTTTGGTACTGTCCATTCTTGTCTATATTTTCATTAATGTGGTTCTTATGTTTTCCCGAGCCAAAGGTATATTGGAAACAACCTTTCTATCCTCACAAGGTAGGGGTAAGGTCTGTGTACACACTTGTAACAACCCTGTCACGTCCCAAACTCGGGGAGTGCGACCGGCGCTCAACCGAGAGAACCCGGCCGAGCAAGCCTGTTAGATTACCTTCTACCCAAACTCATCTATGAATAAATAGGAGATGTACTCCATTAATCAAACACTGGAAAGATTTTATTAACAACTTCCTTTTTATTCCTATTAGCAGCTTCATTCATAATTTCCAAAATATTACGAGTTTATAGAATTAATAAAAAAATATGATTTCTAAATACCAACATTTCTAGTTCAACTCCCAACAACAACCACAACCCACAAACTCTCTACGGAGCCTCAAAGTACAATAGAAGAGTAATAGGGAAATGTCGGCTAAACCTTAAAACACAGTGCATGAGAAACAAAAGATACATGAACCTGAAATGAAGGGGACTTACTAAGTCAGCTGAAGAAAGTGTACCGCTATCACAGATCAATGCCGCATGCTGTGGATCCACCTGCATCCATTAAAGATGCAGCGCCCCCGAAAAAAGGGATGTTAGTACTGTCGAATAGTACTAGTATGTAAAGCTAAAAGTCCTCTTTCAAAATAGAATGACCATATAAGAAATGACAACACATAGAAACAGCAACTCACAATCAACAATATCCAAATATCCAGTTAAAACATAATAATTTTTAAAATACGAACTTCATATACAATTTTGGTTGGGAGATCATTAGCACCAATATACCACCGTCTTTGTTAGCACGGAGTCCGATCACGCCTGATAGGCTAGTACATCTCCCCACAAACAATGTGGTTTGACGAGTGATGCGAAAGAAAGTTGTTACCAAGAGTAGTACCACCATGTGTGCAACATGGCATCCGATCTCCACCCGATCAGTTAGGATGCCTTCCCACATATGCCGTGTGGGTGGAATTTTCCAATCCACAATTGTTACCAGTTTCATCCCAATTAAGGGGATTAATATAACAATTTTCTCCAACATTTCAATTTCATCCCAAATAAGGGGAATAATAACAATCCACCCCTACACTGGCACATGTAGTTTCAGGGGTGGGCCTTATGACCCACCCTTCCTCGGTTTTGCTAATGATGCTCCCAAAAATATTTTTGATTTTATTTGCACACAAAGGTAACATAAATACAATTGTACTCACCTCAACATCTTTTACATTGTATAAATTCTTATTAATATTTCCAGTCACTCACAACAACAATATTTCCTTGGCTCATTTGGCCATTCACAAGATTCTTTATTCCTGGCACGGTGGTCGTATTTCATATTCCAAACTTTCACCTCTTTCAATTTCAAAGATCGCCATCAAATATCAACATATAGAATATTTCAGCAATCATATACCTCAAATTTATTAGTAATGGAAACTTTAAACACAAAAGGTTTCTTCCCAAATAATGTGGCATACCGACCAGCAATGCAAGCACACATCAAATCCTAAGCAATCAATGCACCATTTATTCTTGCAATATTCTTTCCCAGAAATGATAATATACAATTTCAACACCTGAGTATGTAAGAGCTCGAATCATACTGGATATAATTGTAAAGCAAATTATTAGTTAAAGCAGCCACTTATGGGCATGAATTGAGTACAAAAGCTTTTAGGAAATTCTATTTTCAAAATCATTTTTAAACAATTGAGTCGAGGCTCATTTCATATTATTTATCGCATCCTCTCAAATCATTTGCACTACTAGCCACAATCATAACTTAAATTCTTGGCACGTTGGCCACACACTATACCCCAAATTCAATTATTTCATTTCAAACCATCTTCATAGATTATCAACAATAAGACATTTCCAATCAAGACTTTAGGTACACATATGAGCAATTAAGAGTCTTAAGAATATTGAGATTTTCTCACACAATTTGGCATACTAGCTTTCATTTGAAATACGATTCAAAGCCATAACATTTTAATACGCAATCCATACCTTGAAACTCACAGGTACCTCAATTGAGCTTCCTTACACTCTACAATATTCCGGAAATCTTAGCAACTTCAATCTATTTTGAAATGTAACAAATTGAATCAAAATTAGGAGGATGATCATGGTTCTAGCTCATTTGAGCATTTTATCAAACACTAGGTGTGCATTAAAGTTCTTAAGGCCCTTTTGTGAAAGATTCCATCATTCGCCAACCCATTCTCTACCATATTTAGCTCACAACCTTCCCACATTCTTTGATAACACATGCATGCAAGATAACAACTCCCATACCCAAGAATTGTCTTGCTAATTACCATTCTTAGATAAATTTCAAAATTAAGGGCTAGGGTGTAGAATCTTACCTCTAGGATGAAGACCTAGTAAGTTTTCCTTTTTAATCTTCCAAGATTTGAGCAAGACTTGATGAATAATTAGCCTAGGGTTTCCTCTCTCTCTGAAATACTTTCACTTCTCTCTAAAACATCAGATTTTTGGCTCAAAATGGTACAAATCATCTATTTAACGAAGTAGGGTCGGGTTATAAAAACTCAAAAATGAAGCTCTGGAACTGGGTATGCGGTCACATATGCGACTACATAATGCTTAAGCGGTCCGCAGAATAGGCCGCATAATTGCCCTCCAAAATTGGGCAAATCTAACTGTAACGACCCGACCAGTCATTTTGAGCATTTGCACTTCGTTCTGTGGTTTAAGGGTTTGAGTAGCTACGTATGATGTATTTTGACTTGTGTGAATCATCGGTTTTGGTTTTCAGGTTATTCGGGACTGATTTGGAAGAATGATTCTCAACTAGGGAGCTTTAAATTTGAAAGAGTTGATCAGGTTTGACTTTTTAGCATTTGACCTCTGATTGGAATTTTGATGGTTTCGTTAGCTCCATTGGGTGATTTTGGACTTAGGAGCGCGTCCGGATTGTGATTTGGAGGTCCGTGGTTGAATTTGGCTCGAAATGGCGAAAGTTGAAATTTTGGAAAGTTTGACCGGGAGTGAACTTTTTTAATATCGGGGTCGGATTCCGATTCTAGCAGTTGGAGCAGGTCCATAATGTCGAATGTGACTTGTGTGAAAAATGTGAGGTCAACCGGACATGATTTGATAGGTTTCGGCATCGGTTATGGAAGTTTGAAATTTCAAAGTTCATTGATTTCGAATTGAGGTGTGATTCGTTGTTTCGATGTTGTTATGTGTGTTTTGAGGCCTCGAGTAGGTCCGTGTTATGTTATGGGACTTGTTGGTATGTTAGGACGGGGTCCCGAGGGGCTCGGGCGTGTTTCAGATTGATTTTAGATCATTTTCCTTCATGTTTTCACTGCTGTGTTCTGCTGGTTTCTGATGTCTCAGTCCTTCATCGCGTTCGCATGGAAATTGTCGCGAACGCGTAGTGTATTTTGATGGCAGCAGAAAATTGTTCTTCGCGATCGCGAAGTATGTCCCGCGTTTGCCTAGAGATGGGGAAAGTCTTCTTCGCGTTTGCGTATGGCGGATCGCGTTCGCGTAGTGATGAGGTTGGTAGCTGGGAGTTAAAGCATTCTTCTATGCGATCACAGAAGGTGAGTCGCGTTCGCGAAGCCTTGGTGTCTTGCCCCAAAACCGAAGAGCGTGACCGGCGCTCAATCGAGTGAACCCGACCGAGCAAGCCTGTTAGATTTCCTTCTACCCAAACCACGCAAGAAAGAACTCGGCTAGGCTCTGAAACATCCAACCTCACGAACTTGTTGGCCAAATCCTGAACATCCAAATCTAACGGTCTCTCCCCAACTGGAATAAAAGCAAGACTACTCATGCTCTCATCCTTCCTACTCAAAGCATCGGCCACCACATCGGCCTTCTCGGGATGATAAAGAATGGTGATATCATAGTCCTTTAGTAGCTCCAACCATCTCTGTTGCCTCAAGTTTATATCCTTTTGCTTGAATAAGTGCTGTAGACTCCTATGATCTATGAACACCTCACATAACATGCCGTATAGATAGTTCCTCCAAATCTTCAGTGCGTGACTAATGGCTGCCAACTCTAAATTATGTACTGGGTAGTTCTTCTCATAGGGCTTCAACTAACGTGAGGCATAAGCAATCATTATACCCTTTTTCATTAATACACAATCAATGCCAATTCGTGAAGAACCATAATAAACTATATATAAGAACCCAATGCTGAAGACAAAATCAGAATTGGAGTTGTGGTCAAGGCAGTCTTGAGCTTCTGAAAGCTCTCCTCACACTCGTCAGACCACCTGCATGGGGCACCCTTCTGAGTTAATATGGTCAAAGGAGCTGCGATGGTGAAAACCCATCCACAAAATGGCGATAATACCCGACCAAGCCTAGAAAACTCTGGATCTCAGTAGCAAAAGATGGTCCGGGCCAGCTCTGAACTGCCCCCACCTTCTTTGGATCCACCTTATTCCCCTTACTAGATACCACATTGCCGAAAAATTCCACTGAATCAAGCCAAAACTCACACTTGGAGAATTTAGCATATAAATTATTCTTTCTCAAGCTCTGGAGCACGATCCTCAAGTGCTGCTCATGATCCTTTCGGCTGCGAGAATATACCAATATGTCTTCAATGAATACGATGACAAAGGAATCAAGATATGGCTGGAATACACTGTTCATCATGTGAATAAAGGCTGCTGGGGCATTAGTCAGCCCAAATGACATCACCAGAAACTCATAGTGACTATAGCGAGTCTTGAAAGCCATCTTCAGAATGTCTGAATCCCGAATCTTCTGTTGATGATACCCCGACCTTAAGTCAATCTTCGAGAATACCCGAGCACCCTGAAGCTAATCGAAGAAATCATCAATGCGCGGTAGTGGGTACTTGTTCTTGACTATAACTTTGTTCAGCTGCTTGTAGTGAATACACATTCTCAAAGAGTTGTCTTTCTTCTTCACTAATAGAATTTGAGCACCCCAAGACGAAATACTCTACATGATGAAACCCTTGTCAAGCAACTCCTGAAGTTGTTCCTTTAATTCCTTCAACTCTACTGGTGCCATGCGATACGGTGGAATAGAAATGGGCTAAGTGCCCGGCACCAATTCAATACCATAATCGATATCCCTGTCTGGTGGCATGCCTGGTAGGTCTGCTAGAAACATATGTGGAAAATATCTCACTACTGGAACTGACTCAATGGTAGTAGTATCAGCAGTGACATCCCTCACAAAGGCTAGATATGATAAGCACCCATTCTCAGCCATTCATTGTGCCTTCAGAAAGGACACTATCCTACTAGGAACATAACCCAATGTACCTCTCCACTCAACTACGGTAAACTCGGCATAGCCAATGTCATACTCTTGGCGTGACAATCTAGAATAGCGTGATAGGTCGACAACCAATCCATGCCCAAAATCACATAAAAGTCTACCATATTGAGTAACAGAAGGTCAACCTTAGTCTCATAACTCTTGATAGTGACAAAACACGACCGATAGACATGGTCTACCACAATAGAATCCCCAACAAGCATAGACACATAAACATGGGCACTCAAAGAATCACGAGATATATCCAAATATGAAGTAAAGTAAGATGATACATATGAATACGTTGAACCTGGATCAAATAAAATTGATGCATTCCTATGGTAGACCGGAACAATACCTGTGATGATAGCATCTGATGCAACAGCCTCAGTCCTACCCGGAAAAGCATAATAACGGGCCTGGCCTCCCCCTCTAGGATGACCGCTACCCACCTGTCCTCCCCCTTGGCTGGCTGTGCAGGTGAAGTAGAAAATGGAGCAGAAACCATGGACTGTGTACCCTATGGAGGTCCACCACTCCTAAGTCTGTTACAATCCCTTATAATGTGCCCAGTATCACCACACTCAAAACAATTTATCGGCGGGTGTGGCTACTGGAACTGAGCCTGACCCAGATGGCTAGAATAATGGCTGTAAGCACCCCGTGAACGAGGTGCACAAGATGATGGCTGTGTAAGATGAGTACTCTGAGGTCCCGAAATATCTGTGGCACTATGAGTGGCCTGAAGTTCGTACCTATTTATTTGACTGATAAAACTCTGCCATGATGGATCTTTCCCCCAAAGTAGGAGCCCCCAAATCCTCCAAAACCATGAGGCCTCTTGTCCTCCCTATCCTGCCTCTCCTGACCACGAATACGCTCTAATGTCCAAGTAATCTCAATAACCCGCTGTAATGGAGTATCGATCTCCAGCTCCCTTGCCATACTGCATCTAATACCATAACTGAGCCTTTCAATAAATCTGCAGACTCGATCTCTGACTGTAGAAACAAAAGAAGGTGCGTGGAGGGATAGCTACTAAACCTCATGGCATATTCTGACACCGTCATAGTCTCTAACGCAATTGCTCGAACTCTATGCGCCATGCATCCCGGAGGGTCTGTTGGACAAACTCCCTCAAAAATAGATCAGAAAAATATGCCCAAGTGAGTGGCGATGTACCAACTGGCCTACCCTCCTCATAAGCCTGCCACCACCTATATGCTGAACACGTCAGCTGAAATGTGGTAAAGGCAACTCTGCTCACCTCCACAATTCCCATGGTATGGAGAATACAATGACACTAGTCTAGGAAACATTGTGCATCCTTAGAAACTGCGCCACTGAAAGTAGGAATATCATACTTCTTGAACCTCTCAAGCTTCCTCTGCTCCTCCTCCGATGCCACTGACCTGACCTTAGGCTGAACTGCGATAATGAGTTGGCTGGCATAAGATCTAAAACCTGATCAACATGGACCCGCTGCTCTGGAGTACGGGAGGCGGGAGTCTGTGTTCCTCCCCCAGCTTGAGAAGTAGCTGGTACAAGTGGGATCAGTCTCGCTGAGCCAAGGTACCAAACATGCTCAGGAATTATGTTAAAGTTTTATGGAGTCCAGGGGTAGTAATAGGTATATCAGGTGCCTTTTCCCCAACCGGAGCTGCTGGTGGATCCTCAATCGCTGCTCTGGCAGGTGCTCTAGCTGTAGCATGTGCTCTTCCTCAGCCTGACCTCTCACGGCACTTGCAAGGGGCGCGGGGTTTCCTTATCAAATCCAGCAGTGCGTGTACTCACCATCTGTGAGAGAATAGAAAGACAAAAGGTCAAGCTCAGAAATCAATAAATCTGCATGAAAAGTAACGAAAAAAAGTGAAATTTCCTAATAGTTCTGTAACCCCTCAAAGATAAGTACAAACGTCTCCCCGTACCGATCCGCAAGACTTAAGACTCGTAGAACCTATGAACTTAGAGCTCTGATACCAACTTGTCACGATCGAAAATTCCTCATTGGGAGTCGTGATGACACCTAGTCTTCCAACTAGTTAAGCCGGTCACTCAACATTATTTTAAACAATGAAAACATGAATTAACAAAAATATTGTTTATCAAAAATGTGGAAATAAAAGTAATACCAGCCAAAGCACAAAGTATTCGGCATAATATCCCAAAACTATGTGGTACAGAGTCACAAGCTCTAATCGAATACACAATATCAATCTCAAAATACAGAATTGTCTATAATACATAAAAAATAGTAATGAAACCAAGAGGGTGACTCCGAGGCCTGTGGTTGGATCATGCAGGGATACCTTGAAGTCTCCGGTGTGTGCAATGACTTACCGTAGATCAGTCCGGTCCAAGGTACCTGGATCTGCATAAAAAGATGTGCAGAAGCATAGCATGAGTACACCATAATCGGTACCCAGTAAGTATTAAGACTAACCTCGGTGTAGTAGTAATGAGTTTCAAGTCGTGTGATACTGGCAGGCAAGCTACCTTAATCCGTCTTCAACTTCGATTCGTTACGCTTAGAAGCTCCAACAAGCCCTAAAGTTTCTTGCCGCTTAAAATGCTGCCAAGAGAACGCTGCTTTACATTTGATCCTATGTACCCATAAAGAGATAACGTGTTTTTTCCTCAAACTTTCTCTCTGATTCGCGGATCAAAGAAAGCGGGCTTTGCCCTAGCTACCACTATCCTTGGGAAACCTAACGAGCTACTGAAGGAAAGGGATGCAGTTTCTCACTTGGCCTTTGGAGCGGAGAGGACAGAGAAGAAAAATGTTACACCCCATACTTCAAACGTCACTGTCATTATAGGATTAACTAAAGTAAGCTCAAAAAGGATGAAATCCTTTTATAAGGATAAGAAAGGTTTACCGAAGTCTTAAGTAAGCTAAAATGAATATGAAACTTTCTAATCATGATTTAAATGAGTTTAAAGTTATGATATGACTATATATGATGTTTGGATATGGAATATAAAGTTTGGAAAAAATCGGATTTAAGTTGCGGAAAAATCGAGTTAAGATTTGCCTTGTAACGAGTCGTTTTGAAAAATTAATTCGTAAGCTTTATGATGTCATTTTGAGACATATATCATACCAAAATGAAGGTATATGAATCTAGTTTCCAAAGTTCTAAACCATTTATTTATACGATATCGGAGTAAAGAAATATGGATTTTTAAAATAGGGTCGCCAAGTCACGTCGCCGCACTTCGGAGAAACTGGCAGATTTATAGGCCAGGTTGCGAGACGATTTTCTCCCAATATATTGAGAGTTACAGGAAGATATTTATATTAAATTAAATCTCCATGTGTCTAGTTTCTAACTCTGCAAACCGTTCATCGACATCAGTATAGAGAAATATTTGCGTTTTCGCGAGACTGCGCAGGAGGCCCCTATGGGACCCACTTGGTTGGGGCCCGATCTTCACTTATTCTTATCCCGTTTTTGGGATGAGCTTTGCTCATTTTTCGTTCTCCTTCCAGAATCACACTCTCCCAACCCTCCCAAATAGCTCCCCAAAGGCTCCAAATAAATTACAAAGGAATACACCATAATCAAACATCAAAATTTAGCCTAAGTGTAGAAGAGAGTCTTTATGGTGTCATAATGTGATTAAGGGTGGTTGTAAGATAAGGGAAGATTTGGCTTGAGTTTTTCTAGATTCTTTAAGGTATGTATAACACCTATTTCTTGGGATTAATATTATCTATGTGTTGGTTAAGTTATTGGATGATGATTACAAGATAACACTTGAAAGGGGAAGAGTTGTTGTTATCTTTTGTTGGGTTGTTTTAAGG